ATCATGTGACTCCTGATGGTAGTTCTTACCCAACTATGAGCAAAAGAAACAATTTTTTAAAATATACCTGCAGAATAATTTGGGTCTCAGTAAAACACTTTGCTTTACATAATCATTATTAAAGTTTGCAACCATGAAACAGTATTACCTGTTAACTTTCTCTCTCACACTCACACACAAACATGAAGGGACAAATTATTATTAACCTGTAATATTGGAAAGACTATTTTACACAAAAGTAACATTTATAAAGCATCTAGTGCTGGTAAACAAGATAAAATCTGCAAATGTTGTAATCTCTCCTATTATATAAAAGCATTTTGAGGTGGCCACCGGCCTATGGGGTGGCAAGAGGAAATGCGCTCCCTCAGCCATTGGCCTGCCGGCCACCACTTGGGGCAACTGGCACGCCATTGGCTGAGGGGGGAGGGACGAGCCTAGCCGGCTTGGCACACGTGCAGCTGGAACAGGCAGCGAGCGGCCGTCCCTCGGCCAGTGGGGAGATGGGTGAGGCTGGCCACCTTGGCATGCCGGGCCCTTGAGTGGGCAGGAGGGCGGGGAAGGAGCCAGCCTGGCCGGCTTGGCCCACCATCGCCACCACTGGCGCACGGCACTGTAGACGGGCGAGGCCTGCTGCCTTTGGCAGGCACTGCCTCCAGCGCGCAGTGGGGGGAGGTGCAAGCCTGGCCGCTGGGGAGCCACCATGCTCTCCTGTGCCAGTGCGTGGGGGGGTCCTCTGGTGGCCTCTCTCTAGGGCTCGTTGCCTGTCTTCCCGCAACGGGCCTTGCGCCTAGTTGAGCATGTTAAGCAACTGGAATGGTTGGAGAAGACCAAGATTCCTCTGTCTGTGTTATCATTAGTACAGCTAATGACAGTGGAGCATTTTGAAAACTATTGTTTCAGTGCATTTCAGATAAGAGGAAAATAAAACATCTGTTGCAAGAACCAGCAATAAAGTCAGATGCTCAGTGATGGTTAGAAATGTTGAATTAACATAGTTCAATATGGTTCTTTTTCCCCTTTGTGATCTGCATCTGTGGCAGTCCTCTTAACACCTAGTGCTCGGGGGGGGGGATGTTTTGTAGATTTACCTACTTATAGATTTATCTTTACCTACTTACAGCTCAACACTTTGTGGTGAACTCTTGGCATCTGACATCCTTAGACTTCTGATTGCCAAAACCTACACCAACCAAATGACCGTAATGTTCACAAGGCTGTAAAGTATGTGCAGACGGATCCCTACTGCTAGGAAGAGCCTTGAAGAAACGTTACTCCTTTTTCCTCAGGGTGCTTTTCATGTTTCACATTGTCCAATATATGTCTGAGCCCACAGTAGGACCACCTATTATTTATAGCATGTAACCTTACAACATAAATGTATTCTCTGTAACACTAAGAAATGTAAAGTTCTGCAATTAGGTAGGAAAAATCAAATGCATAATTATAGGTCGGGGGAGACTTGTCTTGGCAGTACTATGTGCGAAAGGGATCTAGGGGTCTTAGTAGACCATACACTGAACATGAGTCAGCAGTGTGATGCAGTTGCTAAAAAGGCAAATGCAATTTTGGGCTGTATCAATAGAAGTATAGTATCCAGATCATAAAGAAAGATAGAACAATCTTTAATTTGTGAAGGGGAGGGTTTCCATGACACATACAAGAAACCTCCTTCACCCTCTCCAATACAGTCAGCAAGTCAAGAAGGACTGACAGCTAGCCCAGAGGTTTTCTAAACAGCATTCCCATGGTATGTTTAAAGTGGTTTTTGGAGTAGCCCAAAATTTGAATGTTCTATTACTATATAGCAGTGGACATGGAAGATTTCCTGAGAACTGGAAAGGAAATATTACATTCACCTCTTCTGAAATCTCCCATTTTCCTGTGACTGAACAAGAATAATGTGACGCTCCAATAATTCTCAACATGGCCTCATCTGTCAATACTTAAATCCAGAGACTGGGGCCAAGGACAGATAAATATAACTTACCCAGGCCCAGCTGCTTGCTGCTGTTCAATAGTGGTTAGAGTTTCAGACTAGGATCTGGGAGACCCAGGTACAAATCCCCACTCTGCCATGGTAACTTTAAGCAACTGGAATGGTTGGAGAAGACCAAGATTCCTCTGTCTGTGTTATCATTAGTACAGCTAATGACAGTGGAGCATTTTGAAAACTATTGTTTCAGTGCATTTCAGATAAGAGGAAAATAAAACATCTGTTGCAAGAACCAGCAATAAAGTCAGATGCTCAGTGATGGTTAGAGATGTTGAATTAACATAGTTCAATATGGTTCTTTTTCCCCTTTGTGATCTGCATCTGTGGCAGTCCTCTTAACACCTAGTGCTCGGGGGGGGGGATGTTTTGTAGATTTACCTACTTATAGATTTATCTTTACCTACTTACAGCTCAACACTTTGTGGTGAACTCTTGGCATCTGACATCCTTAGACTTCTGATTGCCAAAACCTACACCAACCAAATGACCGTAATGTTCACAAGGCTGTAAAGTATGTGCAGACGGATCCCTACTGCTAGGAAGAGCCTTGAAGAAACGTTACTCCTTTTTCCTCAGGGTGCTTTTCATGTTTCACATTGTCCAATATATGTCTGAGCCCACAGTAGGACCACCTATTATTTATAGCATGTAACCTTACAACATAAATGTATTCTCTGTAACACTAAAAAATGTAAAGTTCTGCAATTAGGTAGGAATAATCAAATGCATAATTATAGGTCGGGGGAGACTTGTCTTGGCAGTACTATGTGCGAAAGGGATCTAGGGGTCTTAGTAGACCATACACTGAACATGAGTCAGCAGTGTGATGCAGTTGCTAAAAAGGCAAATGCAATTTTGGGCTGTATCAATAGAAGTATAGTATCCAGACCATAAAGATAGAACAATCTTTAATTTGTGAAGGGGAGGGTTTCCATGACACATACAAGAAACCTCCTTCACCCTCTCCAATACAGTCAGCAAGTCAAGAAGGACTGACAGCTAGCCCAGAGGTTTTCTAAACAGCATTCCCATGGTATGTTTAAAGTGGTTTTTGGAGTAGCCCAAAATTTGAATGTTCTATTACTATATAGCAGTGGACATGGAAGATTTCCTGAGAACTGGAAAGGAAATATTACATTCACCTCTTCTGAAATCTCCCATTTTCCTGTGACTGAACAAGAATAATGTGACGCTCCAATAATTCTCAACATGGCCTCATCTGTCAATACTTAAATCCAGAGACTGGGGCCAAGGACAGATAAATATAACTTACCCAGGCCCAGCTGCTTGCTGCTGTTCAATAGTGGTTAGAGTTTCAGACTAGGATCTGGGAGACCCAGGTACAAATCCCCACTCTGCCATGGTAACTGGGTGACCTTGGGCCAGTCACACAGTCTCAGGCTAACCTAGGGCTGCCAACCTTCAGGTGGGTCTGGAGATCCCCTGGAATTACACCTGATCTCCAGCAGACATATCAGTTCATCTGGACAAAATGGCTTCTTTGGAGGGTGGACTCTACAGCATTATACCCCACTGAGTTTTTCTAGAAAGAGGCTTTCAGTGAGAAGGAGGGAAAGAAGCTGGAAAAGGGGAGAGGCTATCGAGTTTTATAGGGAAGGGTAAGAGGAAAGGAGCTGCGGTGGCTTAAGTGGTTAAGACGCTGAACTGCAGGCTGTGGAAGGTCAGTAGTTCAGCAGTTCGAGACCCAAGTGTTCTGCATGACGGAGTGAGCTTCCGTCTCTAGTTCCAGCTCCTGCCAACCTAGCAGTTCGAAAGCAAGAAATTGCAAGTAGATAAATAGGTACCACTTTGGTGGGGAGGTAACAGCGTTCCGTGCGCCTTGGTGTTTAGTCATGCCGGCCACATGACCACGGAAACGTCTTCGGACAGCGCTGGCTCTTCGGCTTTGAAACGGAGATGAGCACCTCAACCCTAGAGTCAGATTTGACTGGCTTTCGAGCAAGGGAACCTTTACCTTTACTTTTTAAGAGGAAATAATGGTGCAGAAAACAAGATGCCCCCGCTTGTTTTTAATTGGAGACCTCAAGAAAGAACTTCTATTAGGGGGCATTAGGATACACTGCAACACTTTTAATCACTTATTCATGAAGTTAGTCACTTGGTTCAATCACCATGCTATAGCTTACAGTAAAAGTTCAGAATCCAAACTGTGGTCTTAGTTTCCAGATGTTCAGCAGGCAAAGCATTGCTTAAATTCTCTAAGCACTCAGCTTCATTGTTAAGATTCTCTAAGCACTCATTCTATGAAGCCCTTTGTCCTGCTAAAGGTGACTAATGAAAACAGTCCAGTCAAAACTACATGTATATAAAAAATAAAACCCATCCCTAATTCCCACCCAAACTGGACACCTGCAAAGCAGCTTCAGCTTAAGATGATAACCATCACTAGACAGAATAGTTACCCTTTGAAAAAGTTTTTTTTGCAAGTAATGGACAACATACTGCCTGTAATGGACAACATACTGCCTGTTTACAGCTTCTGGCACGCTATTCTAAATGTCTGCATCTACACAGGAAAAGACTCCACAGCAGGAAGGCAGATGATCAGAGCATGACTTCTTACTTAGTGGAAGGGAATCCTTAGATCCAACCCAGTGTTCTTATCACTTGATTACCAAACTGACTGTCTAAGGTTGCTTTCACTGCAAAGCACTACGCTTGAGCTAACATCAGGTGATGCAAAAATTCTATTGTTTGTGATTAACCTATGATGGCTCATTCACGGATCAATTACACAGGCACTTTGTGCCTCACTGCCTAGAAATCCCTACAGAAAGCTGCTAGTCAAAAGAAACAGACCCTGTACTATGTGTACCAATGCAATGAAAGCATTTAAGTAATTATTACCAGTTGATTTAACTGAATGCTACCCTGCAATCAGAAAAGAGGTTCAAGTTTGAAGAGAAGCTCTCATCATGAAACAAATGTTTTTTGAGTCAAAATCAAGCTTTCAAACGGAGAAGCCATCAGCCTTTCACTGCTGTAATATTTATTTATTTATTTAGCATGAATGCATGTCTACAATTCTTCCAGTTCAAATAGAACCAGGCATACATATGCACAATAAGCCCCATACCTCATATTATGCAATACATTTACGATGTTTCTGGGAGTAGGCATGTGAGGACTGGCTCAATGCTTCCTAAACAACTCTTGAAAAGTTTAATAAACCAAATGGATGTGATGATTCCACTCCTAGTCAGGCAAACAGGCTTCAGATCAAAGATGTAAACACTCAAAATCTGTCAAGTAGAGGTGTAATACCAGTACACAAAACGGACAAGCACATAACATCATTTATTCAACAAATCTTCAAGCCAGTGTGTAACAGATCATTTTAGCAAGTCATTATTTTTAACACTACTATTTGAAGTAATACAGCAGTGGCCAAACGTTAGCAGAGTGTGGCAATGGACCCAATACCAAGGCATAAATGAAGAAGTGAAAAATAAATTTAGGCTACTAATTTTACTGACTCCAGTACAGAACGTGCTTCTTTATATTCTTCAGCTTCTTCCAAATCTTTTTCATTTTCCTGAAATGAGAAAAACCCAACATACTTTACCTGAACACAAAACAAGACTTTCACTATTTGAACCCTACCCCCCCATACACACTGCTTTTAAAATTACTGTATGCAAAACAACCATCCAGTAAAGACTGAATCTTGGGGGGGGGAAGGGGGCACTATATTTACTGTCTGAAGTAATTAGACTTTCCCCCTTCAGTTGCAGATACCAGGCTTTTGAAACAGCCTTCACTAATTTTTATCCATTAAGGGAATTTCCCCCCCTATATAAGCCGTTAATATTAAAATCAGCCCTTAGTGTATGAATAATGCATGATAAATGAAGGTGTGGAATCTATAATTATGCCTACAATTTCTCTTATTAAAAGAGTGCAAGCACAGCATATTCACAACTAGTTTTACAAAACAGAAACTAAAGTTAAGAAATGAAATTCTATTTTTAGTTAAATACATCAAGAAAATAAAGCTTCTTTTAAAACTATGCTAAAGTAGAAAGGGAGAAACTTATTTAAAAAATTTGAACTACAAAATTGTGCCAATTACCAGTTAGTTATGCTTGCAACCCATGGAAACGATGGGCAAAACATCTGAAGAACTGAAACAAAGCAGACTATAGAAGAAATGTGGTGTGCATGTTCTAGGAAAGTGTGCACAATCTATATTTCACCCTATTATTAATTTATTGTGCACCTTACACTTACAGTTTTGTGGCTACAAAAAAGAAGAAATGGAGCCTTCCTCTTATAGTCCTCTTTAAAAAAACCTTCTCAAATAAGCAAACTTGGTTACAGTCACCCAGAACAGCTGGCAGTTCTGATTATGTTTGTGGTATGGCCAGGAGACAAGCCAAAGTTTCCAACAGCTCTTGTGTCATCTGGCTAGTGGTGGAGGCTTAGGCTGTCTGGTTCTTATAGCTCTATAGAGCTAACAGTGCTGAATACTGAACACAAAATACTGAAGAAAGCTAGTGTTCAGCACATTGTTTCACAACACTTCTGCATTTTTCACAAGGCTAGTAATAATTAACTGTATCCTGTGCCTCTAAGGGCCAAACTCCATGTTACATGATTCTCGTGGGTGGTGTCTGGATCCCCCACCCTGACTTTCAGTTCATCATTCACATGTCAGCTACAGTTTGCCTGCTGGGAATTCAATTTTCCAAGTATGTGGGGCCCCCAATTTGCATTCGGATTACTGCACATAAAGAGAAGGAGCTTCTGCCTCCCCCCTAGACTATTCTACTGATGCAAAGCAGTCCACGAAGTGCTCCCAACAGGGCAAATAGCATCTCCAGTGCTGTTTTGGTCAGGAAAATGGCATGGGAGGAGACAAAAGCATGCTTCGGAATTTAGTTCACAGCAGGGAACTTGTTTCTGATGTGCGACCAACAAAGTCAGGTTGGGTAACCTGTTAACATATAGTTACCCTGAAACGTACTTCAGATTGTTGCTGCATTTGTGCAAATCATGGAATACAGTATCGCATGATCAAAAATCAGAACTTCACATCACATAACAGTGGTAGTATAAGTATATTAACCAGAAGTTAAACAAAGCTGACTCCTTTCTTAGCCACTATAGGTATTCAGTTACTTAAAATAAAGACTAGGTTAAATTGCTGACAGGAATTACAGCTGACAACGATCACTATGCTCATTTTGTATCCTTTGGAGTTTTGTACAGAAGTGTCAAAGGATTACATTTCATGGCTATCTATAATGCTGCCTTATTCACAATTCTTTTCCCTCTGTTGTGTATATATTCTGCTGACTGAATTCATTTCATGTGTTTGACATAGTGAGCTGTGGCCCACAGAATCTTCAGCTTCAATAAACCTGTTAATCTTTAAGGTACTACAGAACTCCCATTTGGTTTTTGGTGCAACTGATTAACATGACTATGCCACAGTGGAAAACTAGTGCTGAATTTGGGCTGTAACCTTACCTGAGTTGTGATTAAAAACCCACCCTTCATTTAAATGAAAGGGACAGAGCTGGCAAATTCACAGATTTTTTCAGTGAAGGAAACAGATATATGGAACATTGCCTGTCCTCAACATCATGCAATGTCCATCGGAGCACCAGTCTATACCATGCTTGGCTCCATATCTAGATGTGGTCTAAATGTGTATTAGGCCAATCCAGTGTGATGCTTACCACTGGATACAGGAAATCCAATATGCAGCAACTGCAGCAAGAATCTAATCTGTCATCATGAACTCACTTAGCTTCTCTCCATCAGCACAGTATCTATAATATGGGGATACTAATACTTGCAAGCAGCACAGAGCAGATTTTAGACATAATACTACCTAGGATTTGTAAAGTGCTTTAAAGTATTCAAGGCACTTCACATACCTCTACTGTAATCCTTACGTAGCAACTCTGTATAGGAATTCATTATTATTGCAACAATGCTGCACATATAAGAAGCTGGGATGAAATTTGAACAAGGCGCTTCCTGATTCGTAGCTCATATATGTTCTGTAAGTAAGAATTCACCCAAGCCATATTCATTTACATGGACATATGACAGAAATGAAATGTGCAACATCCTCTATGGCACAAACATCTGTCAGCAGAACTACCTAAGTTGCTATTGGGGAGTTCTAGTTTAGTCATTTCATTTGACCAATAACTTACTACAAACAGATCACTTGCTGGGCTTTAGCAGAGAATAGCAGGCTAACTGGGTGACTAAGGATCTTCGATGTGGTCTCTATGCTTCACACCCATGGGATCTAGTGCGCACGCGCTGGATCAATCGTTGCTGTAGCAAGCTCTTTTAACGGATTTTTGCGCCCAGTCCCTCAGGCATGCGCAGGAACCCCACCGCACATGCCCAGAGGGGTGGGCGCGGACATCCCGCCAGTTCCTTTCTTACCGCCACGTTGAGTAGACCTCTTCTCTGTCGGTCTGATCGGTTCGCTGTTAACTCACCTCACAGCTCTTAGGAATTATTTCCAAACTTCTCTTACTTTATTTTTCATTTGTTTCTTCTTCAAAAACAGTTAAAAAAAAATTTTTTTGTTTTCCTTTCTGTTGAGGGAAGTTTACCTCAGGCCTTCGGGCTACCCACCCCCCAAAACGTTCCCTCATCTTCTTTTCTTTTATGGAGAAGAAGTGGGGATTTTTTAATAGGTGCAGGGATTGCGGTAGCAAACTTGCTCCTCCCGACCGCCATACCCTCTGCATTTTTTGCCTCGGAGTCTCACCAGCCAGAGCCCTGTCGCCAGTGTGCACGTTTCTCCAACCAAACGAGGAAAAAACGTGCTGCGCGCCTTAAAGTGGTGCTGCTTGAATCGGCCCTTGCTCCTGGCTCAGTGGTGGAGGAGAGACTGTCTACATCGACATCTCCGGCACCGAGCCTGCCTCCGATGTTGACCGCCCGACGCCGAAGCTCCTGACATCGAAGACACAATCGTCCGCTTCCACGCCAGTCAAAAAGAAGGCTAAGGCAAGTAAGGATCACAAGTCCGCTAAGAAGGGCACCTCCAAGCCCCTGAAGGCGGCGAAGAAGGGATGGAAGCGGTTTCTGCACTGGGTGATGCCCCTAAAGTGCCTCCTGCTCCAACAGCAGTATCGATATCGGAGCCCCAAGTCCCTCCACTGATACCGGCCATCCATGTTTTGAACTCCCCTGTCCACCAAACGGAGCGTCCTTACTCCGACATCGAAACGGTAGAGCTCCTAAGTCATCAAATGGATGCAGAGCCTTCTC